CTTGTTGCCTGAGCAACATATCCCCATCCTTTATAAAGATCCATGTTGTCTGGAATTCCCCCCAGTAGCACCCACAGCCTATCCCACGACATACAGCTCCCTGAAATAGATTCCCAAAATTTTTGCCAACAGTCCCAAATGCACTTCGAAGCTGGGCAATCATACCAAAGATGGTTGGTGGATTCATATGCCCAACCACACCTCTTGCAGGTTAGCTCAACTTGCATACCCCGCTGAAACAAAGTAATCGCCGAGGGGGTAGCAAACAACGAGAGCAACCATAGATTAACAGCTGCACGCAAGTTCGGAGCCTGTATCAGCTGAGACCAACAGCGAGAGATGGCTTTCTCAATCTGGCTGGCTTCGCAGTCTAGCACCTGCTTCCACCGTGAGGTGGCCATTTGGATTGGGAAGCGGGTGGGACACAGGGCATTATATCCCTGGGCAACCGAGTATTGATTCAATGGTAGATCTGCTCCTCCCACACCTTCTCCTTGCCAGCCCCACAATTTCGGGTCAACTCTTAACTCCATCAATGATTTACCTTGTGCAAACACTCTGCAGGACCACACACCTTCCTCATTACAATCTTCCCAGACTCTAGTTTGGAGTAGCGTCTCATCCAGGGGGGGATGTGTCTCATCCTCCTGGAGGGATAAAGGACATGTTCCAGATATACCTTGGCACTGTTGAAAAACTCTTTTCCCGTTCAACTCAATCCTCATGAGCTTCCAGACGGAAGGACTCTCCACCAAGGGACGTGACATATACCAAGTCCTTGGAGGGTCGACTCCTTCTGGACTCAAAATATGGCACCAATCAGCCGGAATAGCTTGAATAAGCTTACTCAATCTTTCTTCCACGTACCAAACAGGACCCAGACGTGATCTCAGTTCTGACAGGGAGACCCATTGATTGGAGAGGCTGTCCCAGATATCATTGATCCTAAGTGTTCCCCGTTCAATCCAGCACTTACAGAAGCTCTTGCCGGTCGAGGCGGCTGAAAAACAAGCACCATCTTCCATACAGATATACGGGTTGTCGAAAAGTGGTTGCAATAGGACTTCCATTTTCGTGACTGGGTTCGACCAGGCAGTTGGCCTGAGTTTCTTCCAGGCAGAAATTATTGCTCTCCAGAAATCCGACTTGACTGTTCGGTTTTGGTATGAGTTTAGCAATAAGCAGGTCAAAACGTCTGAGGGTCTACTCAGATTCCATTATGAGGCCAAAATTTCTTCAGCTAAAGAGATCTAGTGGGCATCCTCGCTGGAGCACATCGCTTTAACCATCCACCTAATAAGCATCGCAATGCTCTTCCGCTGGGGGTCTATCAGTCCTAACCTTCCTTCCAGTTTAGGAAAGCATAGTTGGTCCCAAGCAACCTTCGAAAGGAAACCTTCCCCCTCCTTGGCGAAAGATTTCCAAACGAACCTGGCCAATCGTCTTCTTATCAGGGTACACAGGTTCTTACCCAATAGTCTGACGGCGGCAACAAACCACAGTAGTGCAAACAGGGCACAGTTAATTACCATAGCTCTGCCAAAATTTTACAGGTGATATGCCTTACCCCAAGTGGAGATTCTCTGCATAGAACGTTGTAAGAAGATGCTCTCCTGGTCAACTTTACAAGATAGTAAGGCAACCTGAACCCCTAAGAACCTCTCCAACTGCCCTGACTTTATTCGTTTCATCCCCCAGTTCACTACAGGAGTATGTGGCATAGGGAGAAAGAACACCAATTTCGACCAGTTCACAGATGCTTCTGACAGCTCTGAATATTCATCAAGACAAGACTTTAGAGCCACCAAAGAAGACTCGGTGTTTTCATATATTGCGAACAAGTCGTCGGACAGTGCCTTTACCTTGCACTGAGAAGTACTTATTACCAGACCCCTAATTTCCAACTTTGCTCTTATGTTGCAGAGGAGATTCTCTATTTGCAACACAAACAAGAGAGGGGCCAGGGGACATCCCTGGCGTAAAGATCTAGTTAGGGCGAAGGGCTCCGAGACATTGCCATTCACCATTACTGCCGCTGTTGACTGTGAATATAAAACGATCACCCATCTACACAAGTTTTGCCCAAAGCCCAGATGTCTGAGTGTAGATAGGACATAAGTCCAGTTCACACGATCATAAGCTTTCTCAAGATCTAACATACGTATCATGACATCTGCAGATGTGTTCTCTACTACTTCCAGGGATTCAATAGCCGTTATTATATTATCAAATATAGAACGGCCTTGCACGAAAGCTGCTTGATCCTTGTTCACCAACTCAGGTAGGTAACGGCCCAACCTCCTTGCCAGGATTTTGGCCAGGAGTTTATATGACACATTTAGGACAGAAATTGGTCTCCATTTTCTTATCTCAGGCCGATCACCTTTCTTGTATAGTAGGGATATGATCCCGTTTCTCATACCCTTCGATAAGCTTGTCCCCAACAAAACCTGATTATAAATGTCCACAAGGTCCTCTTTAACCGAATCCCAAATCAGTAGATAGAGCTCAACGGGTAGGCCATCATCTTCTGGGGCTTTTCCCTTGGCCATAGAGCAGAGAGTTTCCCTGGCTTCCTCCACTGTTATCGGGCGATCTAGATCTTACTTACCATGTACAGGGAGTTTAGTCGTGAATGAGGACCAATGACTAGACCAGACAGTAAGATCCGTATTAATATCTTCGTGTGGTCTTCTAGTCGTAAGGATATCTTGATAATACATTGCAGCGTATGAGCACAGTTGAGACTGATCGCATGCTATCGGGAGTTCTTTATCGAATGGATGCATAAATTGACTCATCGGATGAGACAGCCGTTTCGGGAGTAGTTTTTGAAAGGACTCTCTAGACATCCGATCATATAATTCAATTCCTTTGACCTTCAGACGTTCTGACCATAACTCGGACTATGTGAGCCGAATGAAAGGATTGGAAAAAAAAAAAAAAAGGTTTGACCGACCCCATATCGCCCCATATCACTGAATGGGACGATCGTCGCAGTGTACCTATCAGTAACCAAGCGTGACCTCGAATCCTACTGTACTGGAATCCGTTGCTATTCTCTCGATTCGCAGTCCGTTTTCAACCGGAGCTGTCAATAGTCATTGGGAGACCGATGGGCCTCGCCCCACTTCACAACAGTCGAAACCTAATTGGACATTAGAATACCAATCTGCTAGTATCTGGACCACGCAGTGGACCTAATACATTCCAAACATTTGATTTCTCTCAATATTTCCGGTCCAAATCACTGTCCACATACATGTGGAATGTAGCATATGGGGGTTCCCTGAAGGCAATATATAAAGGTCACCCTGGGCTGAAAAGGCCACCCGATGTCGGATTAGACACAATATTGAATTTACCTGGGCTGGTTAGTCCGATGAAAATACCTTAAGGCCATCGCCCTTTTGAAAAAAAAAAAAAGAAAAAAAAAAGAAGGAATGTAGGATATGGCGCATATGGTGAAGGGGAGCAGAGTCAAGCACGTGGTGGGAAGCACCTCAGCAGCAAAAGGAGGCACAAAGATAGGTCCCGTTGGCATGGTTCATGATGCTACCGTGATGGTACCGGCTGTCCTCTGGCCGTCATAGCCCACCTGCTGGTCGGACACAGCCTCCGCATGTTCTCTCGTCAACACGGTTCCGGCTTCGTCTGGCTGCTACGGGGTTCTTGTATGACAATAATTAGGA